GTTCAGCATTTATTAGCAACCTTGTCACTTATTTTAAACACTTGGAAGATTAGTAGATCAGAGAGATTATTGTGGTGTTTACATATATTTAAAGAAGGTACTGCCACGTGTTTTGCTGAACACCGTTCTGCTCTACTCCTGCGGCCTGTCCATTTGCTTGACTTCTAGGTATAGTGATTAATTTTAAGATGCGTGTATCAATAATACACATGCTTGCACAGAGTGCAGTGCTTGCAGGAGGAGGATGCCCTGGCAATCTCTGCTGTGCTGCTGTAGGAGTGCCAAGAGTTTCATCATTACTCTGCCATCTTACAACTTTCAGATATGTTTTCCATCCTCTACAGAGAGCTCCGCTTCTAGGATCCTGTCATCTGCTGTCTTGGCACTGTGTAATAAACATGAACAATTTGATGAGGCGTTGGCAGGCCCTGATGAATATTGAGCCATCTGAGCTGTCTGTGGGCTTCCTTCTTTGAGAATACACCTGTCTGCAGGCTTCATGCTTCAGATACCATGATAAATGTGTGTGTATAAATAAACAGCATGCATATATACACAACACAGATGTTTTTCAGTAGCAAATGGCTCTTCTTGATTGGACTAAACAAATGAGTACACTGTCCCAGAAAATGTGTTTTGATTGGCCAATCATTTCAATTCCTTGTTTGTAAGGTGATTGTATTTTTAATGACAACAGTGGGCATTTACTTTATGACTTCAGTTTTGGCTAAAAACATCAGTGTTTGCTGATGGAAGTGCATTTGATTGAAGTATGGAGCTCACCTAAAAAGGGGAAAAATAATTGGTCTGGTTTTATTATTTTGTGATATTCTTGAAGAGAAAACAATGAAATTTGCTCATTTTTCAGTTTAATTGTTATTATGACAACTTGAGTCTTTGTTCTTGAGAGTTCCCTGATGACTGAAAGTTAATGAAATAGCTGTGTCACAGACAAAGATATAAGCTGTTAAGGAGGAAAATGGTTTTAATCTTTCTAAAGACTATTTATTATTTAGTTTTATTTAACACCAGAGACAAAATAGCATTTCTGAGGAACTAACAACGGTTTGCTGAAAGACAATCCCAAACCTTTTATGTTTTAATTGTCCCGAGATAAGTGTTCTAATCTATTCCAGTGTCTTGCTTCTCACATGTGAGGATAATGGTATTAAGTTCGTGTGGGAGCCTTAAAATCAAGACAAAGGGTTTTGTCATACCTTAGCTCCCTAAGGTCACTTGCACCCTGTATTTTTAGTTAACTTTTCTGTATATGGGAAAGATCACTCAGACATTTAGTTATTGCTGGGATAGTAGAACAGTCTCAACTGTGAACACTTCCGCAAAACAGTTGCTACTTTTTTTTCCCTTCATCTTTGTAACCTATTCTAACAGCTGATCGGAAAATGTTGCTGATGATGGGAAAATGCAGCCTGTTTTGCCCCTTCACTCATGCAATTCTGTTCTTCTAATTTCTTAGGTATTTTATTGTTTACAGAGACCGTGTGTTCCATCATGGCCCTTTTCAAAAAGCCACCCCACTCCACTCTTATATAAAGAGTTGTTGAACTCGATAATACAAAATGTGTCAGTTAATAATTAATTATTAATTAATTAATACAAAATGTATCAGCTGATAATTAAAATCCTGTAGAAAAAGCAGAACTCGCCTGATTTCTGAACTCTTGTTGATTATTTGATCTTACTAAAATAGGAGTATATTTGGGAGAAGCAGAAATGTAATTTTGTAAGTGAATGAAACATGATTCTTTAGTGAAATATTCCTGAGCCATGACTTGCTGCATGCATACATAACAATGCCTTTGTGATGCCTTATAACATAAGTGGTGCTTTATAAAATAAAACAGAAGTTAGATGTTTCTTTTTTTTCCGCAAAGGAATATTCATCATATCCAAGCTTTCCTCAAAGCCAGTACTCACAGTATTACAGCTCCTCCTACAACTCTCCATATGTGTCTGCAAACAGCATCAGCCCCTCAGCCATCCCAACCTCCACTTACTCGCTGCAAGAGTCTTCTCACAATATCACCAGTCAGAGCACAGAATCGCTGTCTGGTAGGTGCATCTCTTCTGTTTTCAGTTTGGCAGTCGCAGCCACCTGTAGACATAAATGCTATAACCTTGTTGTTGGAATTTTTTTAAAATGCATATATTTACATGGATCAATCAGATTTTGTAGCACTTAACAGTTCTGCTTACACAGTGCAACCCATGATTTTGGGAAGAGATTAGGACATCCAAGCTCTCTAAAACCATACTGTGTTATTTTCATGAATATGCGAGGTTTGAGCTCCTCTAAAGGTGGTACAGAAAGAGAAAACAATTACAGACAAAACCCAGATCAGTACTGAGGGCTAACGTGGGTAGCAGCGAGTTCAAAACAAACAGCCATGCTCTGAAAAAGCCCTGGAGTTTCCTGAGTATCTGATGACTTCTTAGCCCATGTCTCTGTCAAGGTTTATATTCACCTCTTAACAACAACGTGTAGTGTCTGCATTCACTAATAAGTACATCAAGAAAAAGTCATTCTTTAGTGAAAGTCACTCTAAAAATTCAACACAAACTGTTTGTCTAAGTTGAAAGTTCAAGATTAATTCTACACAAAAAGGCTTCAAAATTTGTGGCCTCTCTTTGCTTAATTTTTAAAGTCTCAAAGCTTAAATGGTTTGTAGAATTACTGACAGATGATGATCCTCCAATGTACTGTTCAAGTACAATCTTCAGATATCACTTCCCTACTAAAGTTTTCATTGGCGTGCAATAACATTATATAAAAACGCCACGTAATTTGTGGATGATCACAGTATACGCCCATTGTAGGTCTGCTGACTTATGAAACAAATCTGAACATCTGTGGTTGCTCTAAAAGAAAAATAAACTAATACTGGTTTTTAAAGAGAAGTGATCACAGATTGCTCTAAAAGCAGTCGGAGGATTTTCTGTTCCTTAGATCTTATCTCAGCCTTTTTGAGAACGGGTGATTTCAAAAAGGCTTGTTAGGCACAATCCAAACTTCTCTGAAGAAGAATATGGTTATTCTAGGAAGCTGGAGAGGCCACAACTTAGCAAGGTGAAAAGAAAAATATGTTTGAAAAGGATTTGTAATGGTAAGGTAAGTGAAATCCAGACAGGTTTATGAAACTCAAGCCAATCAAAACAGATACTTTATACAAGGGAAGTTCACCTTTGACTGTCTCTTCTCAGTTATTTCTAAACTACTATCTTCTGTGAAATGGAATATGGCTAAACAGGCTAGTTCTATATTTTTAAATAAAAGTTGATGTTGAAAGTATATTTTTAATCACAAGTATTCATCAAATTTAAGACAAAAAAAATCAGAAGTTGAATTGGTCTTGATTTCCTTTTCCATTGCCTTTCGAATTTCTCTTCTGAAAAGCAGAGCAGGGAGTAAAATTCAAAAAGCTGTTTTTTGTCAGTGAAGAATGTGGTAAGGTTTTTGAAGTGACGTATCCATTTTAAAATGTTATATTTACAGTCTTGATGATTTTTGAAATTGTTTTAACAAATCTTAGGAGTTAAAAGTTATTTCTCTAACAATATCAGCTCTTGACATGAAAAGAGTAAGATTTTCTGATGATGTTTTCACAATGTTTCTGGTGTTCTCCATTAAAAAGTTTCATGCTTTAATTACAATGATACAGTGCAAAATTTAAATTTACAATGGAATTTCTTTTTTCATAATAGGGGAATATTCAACACCACCAGCAAAAGATATAGAAACAGACAGACATCACAGAGGGTCAGATGGCAAGGTGCGAGCCCGGTCAAAAAGAAGCAACGATCCTTCCCCTACTGCTGACAGTGAGATTGAGGTAATTAATTTATATTCCCTTAGTAAATCCAGCAAGGATAAACAGTTGCGTCTATTAGAAAATTCCACCATCGGACTGTGAGTTGTAAGAGCCAGAATAAAATCAGTAATATAACTGGAGCCTACAGACTCCAGGGTAGTCAAAGTAATTGCTCAATTTCTATATTATCAGCATCTCAAACTGTTATTTGTATGTACGTTGGTGGTTTTTTTTTCCTTTTTATAAGCCTTTTGGTTCGTTCCCCTGATTTGACATTCAACAGGGGATTTCTGTGGTGGTTAGGAGAGCAGACTCCCAGGATGACCAGCACACACAAAATTCAAAAATTCCTGATGTTTTCTTTTGCCTGCTTCCACAAAGCATCTACAGTCAGTGCTCCAAATGAGTTTGAGATCTTAAAAGGCTCTAGTCCAACAGGACATATTTCCTGACTGAACGAATTCTTGCAATTGCTTAATATGTAACTATATTTCTCTTTTCCACCCTGTCTGTCATCACAGCGTGTGTTTGTGTGGGATTTGGATGAGACGATAATTATTTTTCACTCCTTACTCACGGGAACCTTTGCATCCAGATATGGGAAGGTAAAATTTAATTTTTTTAGCATTACTTCTTGTCCAGCCAAATTGCATCGGGAACTGTGGGGGCAGCTAATGAGACATATTTTCAAACAGATGCTGCTGATTTTATTCAGACACATTTGTATAAATACGTCCTGTGGTATTTCCTTCTAACATGTGAAAATTTAATTTACCTTCCTTTCATGTTGCAAGTAGCCCGTTATTCAAAAGCTTGTATTGTTCAGCTGCTGCTAGATCGGACACCAGGATGTTCTTTCAATGTCTGTCTTCTGCAAGAGCCTATCAAGCAGCCAGGCAGCGTTAACTCCAGCCCGAATGAGGCAACACGTTTTTTGTTAGACCAGTATTTTCTTATGAATCTCAGGCAACTTTTTAATAGAGATTTTATGTTGGTCTGTCTAGGTTGCCATGAATAATACTGCCTCTGCTTCCCACACAGCTGCTGAAGCCCACATTTTTAAGGGATTTTAGGAATTGTATCTTTAGCTATCCATACTTTAGATACCTGCTTGGAAATGCAGGCAGGTTTTTTTGGTAAATGTGGCTGAACAGACTGAACTTGGCTGCTAAGGAGAAGGTGCTGGCTTTTGGATTTAGTGCCATGTGCTTCAATTTCTTCCTAAGGCAGCTTTTTATGATAAACACTTAAGTCACTTTGCATTACAGAATGTCAAACACTTTTAAATGGGTAGGAAAAAAGACAATATCATTACCTAATTAAAGGTGGATGACTAGTTGGCAGCTGTTTCCACACATGGCTTTGAACAGTCAGCTTCATCAGGAGACTGGAAAATAACCCTGCTTCTCTCTAGAAAGCAGAAATATGATTTGACATCATTTCATGGCTTTACCAGCTGTACTTGTTTTACGATGGTTATAACAAGCTGAATGTGTAATTAGTAAGATAGATTTATTGTTTGCTGTTAGATGTGCACAGTTGTAAAGGATATAAAATGGTGTTTGTGGTGTGGAAGTCTACTGCAGCACTTGGAATTCTGCTAACACTTCTAACAGCACCCTCTGAAAACCAAGCACGTGTTTCCAAGCAGGGATTTATTCAGACCCATGTTGTACAAGGTAATTGAAGCGGTTACTTTTCCCAGGGAACATAATGAACGAGGCAGTCTGAAGTATACATGTGTAAGCTCAAGCCCACTGCCTGCAAAAAATAGAAAGAATTAGGCAGAAACAGGAAACATAAACTTACACTGCGTAGGTCTGCTATGTGGTCATGCTTAGCATTGGGTAGGGGCTGCAGTATGTGTATGGAGAATTGCCTTAATGGGCTGACTTTGTTCTAGCAAAAAAACTCTGAATCAGATGCCTTCATGTGCTGCCTTCTGCCCAAGTTGAGAGGGTGTGGAGTTGGCATCTGCTGCATGGGGGCAGTTGGTGATGGACTGAGGGCTGTGATGGAGCTGTGGAGGTGAGAAGCCCTGCCACCACAGTACCTGGGAGCTCTTGCTGGTGGGCTGCCATCTCTAGAGCAGGTGGTGTGGAGATGAAGGGGGTCAGGGAGTGGAGCCAGAAAGGGTTTATCAAAAGCACTCACCTGTGGCCAAGCTGTTGCCATTGGTCATGAGAGCAGAGCTAGGCCAAGACAGGGCACTTGTGAGCAGCAGCCTACAAAGGGGACTAGGGAGAGAAGAAAACAGGAAAATGGAAACTCAAGGGATTGTCTGCTTTGGAACGCCTTTAAAGGTACAAAATGACAAACTTCTGTTGGCTGTTTCCTTTACACAAAGGTAAAGAATAATACAAACAGGAATTTTTTTTTTGAATGAATCACTTTTTCTATTAAGTTACAACAGGCTCTTTGAGAAACTTCTTTAGAAGGACTTTTTTTGTAGTTCTTCATTTGTTTCATCAGTATTAAATTCCTCAGGGCTTTCCTATAAGGGAAATGGTTGCGTTATAAAAGTATTATAGGCTAACAGCTTGATCCAAAGACAACCAGAGGCTTTGGTGGGCTTTGGAACAGACCTTGAACCAAGAGGGAAATACAGCACACTCAGACAGACTGTCCTGGGAACCCTTAAATAGTAACACAATTCAAAAACGTTTAAGTGAGCAGAACTATCAAGTACAAGTGAAGCAGTGAGACAGAGATTAATAGTTTCAGAATCTCTTACTTGAATAATGTAGAAATAATCTCAAAGTAAATTCAATATCAAGGCCTAAAATTCTTTTTTTTTGTCCATAATTGATCATAAAAGATTCATGCGCCTGTAATTAGACATGCACATGCTTTGAATTTAATCTCACACATGGAAGTCTTGGTTCTGTATGTCCTCCTCCAGAAAAAGTGTCGGTTTATATGATGGTCAGCATTCCCCTGACCAATGTTAATGTCCCAGTATCACCCTGTCTGTTGCACTAGTAGAGCTGCTCTGCAGCCACTCATAGAATTAATCTATAAAGTTGATCAAGCTGAAGAATAACATCTCTTTCTGGGCTGATTTTTCTAGGAAGAGAGGAGGAGGAACAACAACCATAGCTTCAGAGATTTGGGTCTAACCTCCTGGGTTCTTTAGCTACAAAGTCTCCAGTGGTTTTGCATGTTGCCCTTTCCTTGGTGATGACAGCAATAGGGAGCTGTCCAAAAAAAAAAAATCTGATTTTTGAAAAAAAAAAAAAAAAAGGAAAAAAAAGAAAGGGAAGAATTCACAAAAAGGATTATCAATTGTAGTTGTATTAATGCTTTAATGTATGTTTTCTGGCCTGGTTTCATGTGAAAATTCTCTTTGTTTGGTTTCTGAGGGAAACCTCTGTGGTCCTTGCCATAGATACATGCTCCTCGGAGCATGGACAGTTCATCTCAGATGTTTAGAAAATAATTTGCTCCCAGGATTAACAGAAGTTAAACCACAAAATTTACTGAAGGTTGAAGCATAAATGAATAGTCCAGCATAGGTTGCTCCTTTTTGTCCCTTCTGCCCAAACTCTTTGCTCTGTCCCGTGGACTACAGTCACCAGACATTTGGCCTTAATGTCTTTCCCATACGGTCGCTGCAGTATAACCTTTATAGTGGCGGTCAGTGGCCTGCAAATTCACATCTCCTTTTGCTTTCTTGCCTGTGGTTGAATGGATGCATACCTGCACAAACATACGGAGTCACGGTCTTAAGTGATCGGGGCAGCAAAGCTGTCAAACCCAAGGAAATCTCTCCACCCTTTGGTTTCTCAGCAGGAGGCCCTTTGACAAGAAAAGGCAAAAAAGAAAAAGTTCCATAGGCAGTTAACCCTGGATATTATGTTCAGAAGGATTTAGAAACCTGTTCTGCAGGCTTCTGATCACTGTATGGGTGCAGAATACTTACCATGTGCCTAGAGACTGCAACAGATGTAGACCATCATTATAGCTTAATGTACTGTCCACCCAGCCCTTTTAATCCCTTCAGGCATGTATAAAAGAGCTCCCATTCAACAGGAAGATGACTGCAGTCTTTACTGTGTCTGCAAAGATCTGCCCGCCAAATCACTGACTAAATATAATGGGAAAAACGGATCAAAATCCGTAACAGTGCTGCTGGGGTTTCACATGAGCTGGGTAAAAGTCAAGGGGCTTTGGCCATTTGTTTGAAGCAGCTAGTTGCAATACAGAGAGACTCTTGTGGTGGCATTAATTCAGACACAATAAAAAGAGATTGCATGCACTCCTGTGCCAAAAAAAATCGTGAGTCTATTCCCCTTTCCCTGACAGATATTTGCAAGCTTGTTCCATAGTCTGTGTTGTCAAAACATTAAAAATAAATTCTGCATCTCTTTCAGTCTGAGGAATTTTAAGTATTATATTGCAGATTCATTCTCATGCTTTTGAAGTACTAGCATCAAGAAAAAGGGGGCACTGGGTGTGTTGTTTTCCCTAGTTAAGGGGTATGTGTGGAGCTAATACCTTTTCTCAGTATTTTTTATCGTTCCCGGAACATGTGTTCTTGTTCTGTGTTGGTATGCTCCTTGGGATTTCAGTGTCAGAATGAATTGTGAGTAAAGTAGAATCTGGAGTTAAAATTCATCTTTACGTGCAAATTACTCTGGAACCAAATGGAAAGGATTTTATTTTAGCACTAACTTAAAAAACTGAATACATACACCAGTCTAAATTCTGGAATTGTGTTGGATCTTTATCAGTACTTTGACAATGTCTGCTGGTACTTGGCAGTTACAGTCTATAAAATTTCCTGTAAGATATACAGCAATTTCTGAGATTGTTCAGCATCTTGAATTGGCTTGAATTAAGAAAAAGATACTGCAAAAAATAATAAAGGACGTTATGTCCCAGTTTTAAATCAGAGTCATGCAAAGTAATGTAGGTTTGAGTTCACCATAGCTGAAAGGTGTTTAGATTGCCTGGATTATGTGTCCCTCTGAGCCTGGACTACGTGGTTGCTCTGCATGGAGTGGCCGCTGTGTCCGCTTTCAGTGGCGACTTGCAGTTTGCCTCATAGTTGCTTGATTGACATAGAGGCTTTTCTTCTGTGATTTTATTTTTTTTTTTATTCCTTTTGCTTTTCAGAAGTGGCAACATGAGATCTATCCAAGTTGTAAGCAGACAGGTATCAGTGAGATAGAGACAGAGCATGCACTCAAGTTTCCAGCCTGTGCAAACATGGGCTCTGCCTCTCTCATGAGGGATTGCAGTGGCACAGGTATGTGAAGGACAAGGAGAGGGTCCTCCAACGGTAGCAGGGCCTCAAGACCTTTTGGACAGAGAGCTAAAGTTGCTGCTTGGCTCTGTTGAGGGCAGGACGTAAACATGATTTTCTAGCATTTCAAGCAAATGTCATAGCTGCTGGATGTTGGCTGTCTGTGAACTGGACTGTCTTGTTCTCACCAGAAATGATGATGTGGATCTAAGAAACCTTATTCCTCAGAAGTTTCACCGGCAGTTGTATGTTCTTACAAAAAGTTTTCCTTTAAGTGAATTACAATTTTCAATTAAAAAAAAAGTCATTGAAAAGTTCCTGCTTGGCTCTACTAGAGATCCTTGTAAAACCCTAAGG